TATACCAAACATTCACCCAGGGTCACCAAATTACCCGACCGAGTTCGTTTTTGGCTCGAGTCGATCAGTAATGAAGGGCAGGGTCTAATTCAGTCAACAGGCTTACATTCATGCACATGTAATCATTCAATCATTATAAATTTCACATTCATTTAGGTCGAGTGCAATAAAGTACACACTCGCCTAGAAAACTCGTTTTGGCAATAATAGAACGCATTTAACATGTTATCAATCATTCATAACAAGCCATATAATCAAGAAAACATAACAAACAAGAAACACTCACCTATTTACGCAAAATAACGTCCAAAATATCCTTCCAGATATTACCCTCAGTCACCGATGAAAGCTAAGATTAAGCAAGAGAGACTATTACAGTTCATCTAGCAAAAATAATTAGGTGAAATCGAAGAAAATCTGACTAACGACGAGTAGAACGTATAAAGATGACTTTAAAGGTGAAAAGAAGGCATTTGGATATGAGGACGGGAATAACTAAGGGTTTCACAAATCAAACGTGAAACTAAACTCAAAAGAGTTATAAAATTTCGAACGAAAAACACTTGGACCAAAGACAAATCAGAATCCAACTAGATAGGCTAAAGAAATATTTTTTTGAATCGTTTATGTGGCTCAAAATCAATATATATTCAAGTAGATATTATATAACAAATGTCTTGATGAAAATCATGTGAAAATGAGGACAAAATACCTTACTTGAAAGTAGTTTTCTCGTGGCCAAGAAAACTCTAATTCATACCTCTTTATTTTGGTAAGGAGTAAGTAAACATTTGAAGTTTCAAACTAAAGAGGTATCATGTTTAAAATGGTAAAACGGTCATGATATTTACCAAGCATAAATATATAAGTTCAAATAGGAATGTAGCTCCTCGAACACCCTTCAAGAGAACCGATGTAATTTTCAATGAAGTACGTCCAACTCGACACAAAAATCACATTTCCAAATCCACTCTAACTCACTCAAATTACAAGAAAATAAACGGACAGTATTTCCCCCTAAATTCTTCACTTTCACCCTACAATCAAATACCCATTCTCATAGCAATTAATCACAATCACATATACGGTTCAATAGCAATAAAACACATCCAATTAGGGCTACAATACCCTTCAATCAAAGCCAATCAGGGACTTTACAACCAATCAAAGCAAAGCCCTAAATTTGAAACCCTAGGACTGAAATTTATACCCACAAGCGGAAATTTTCCGCAAACCATCACAACTAATAGACACAAGTTTCATTTTACACCATCTCCATCCATCAACCCAAGGCCAACCTATGATTATCATATAAAATCAGAAAAATTATCAATAAATCAGAAATTGGACCAACTCTATTTAAAATCATGAAATCATCCACAAAATAGCATATCTAACCTCTACAAACCACCAATTAACCATTATTAGAACAAAAAAATAATAATTTCTTAACACTCATGTTATGAGCTTAAGAAAGGCAGGAACTTAAAACTTCCCTTCCAAAAATCACTCCGTCAAAAACTTTAAACCCTCTTAGTACACACTTGTATGGAGTAGATTAAAAATCTAACGGTGAAATCTCAAGATTTGAGCAAAGATTGCAGTTAGGAAAATAAAGAACTTTCTCTCTTCTCTCCATGATGCACGGGTGAGCAAGGTGAAGAAATGAAGATATTTTGGGTCAAAAAGCAATATAAGAATGAAGAAAACTGCCAGTCAAAGTTGGTGGCCGCCTGTGACACGTCACAATCTGGCCGGATTCAAGGTAGAAGAGAAATTAATTTTTCTTTTCAAAAACCAACAGCAATTCGGCCAAGAACTGGCCGGATTTGCAGCCGGATTTGGTTCTTCCCCTTTTCACCAAATGTTTTTCTTTTTTTCCTAGTTCAAATGCCGAGCTTATCCGTACTTCCAACTCATAGGCATATATACATATCTCACATCACACGTTCACATATTTGCAATGAAAACCCTCCATAGAAATGGATAGCAAATTTTTCCATTTTAAAAAGGAAAGTGAGAATAACAAAATGCTGAGAAAATGTGAAAATTTTAGGGTTCTCACACTCTCTTCCCCTTAAGAAATTTCGTCCTCGAAATTTTACCTTCCGTGGCCTCAGACGAGTCCAGAACTTGTCGGTTGTCTAAGGCATAAACCTTTGCCGATGCATTTGTTCGATCCCTTCTTCTTTCACTGGTTTTGATTTGGTTCCATCCAGTGGTTGAGTACTACTCTCTCGTGACTGTTTTCTCGGGCAGTTACTAACTTGATGATCACCACTTCCGCAGATCAAATACTTCCGCCCTTTTCTCCAACAATCGCTTTCGGTGTGATTTGCCTTTCCATAGTATCCACAGACCAAGTGAGAAGCCACCTTTTGACTTTCTTGAGAAATCTCCCTATGTCCGATTTGACTTCCTTTTGTAGACCGTTCATCTAACGCCCCTAATGTCCATGGTGGGTAAGATAAAGGGTTCACTTTTTACAATTTAGAAGGTGCGATCGTTTCACTAAATTCTTCCAATACACTACCCGATGCACCCCTTTTCAGGGTTTGGGAGGCTTTTACCTATGCCTTTGCATCCTCAATTTTTTGAGTTTTCTCAAGAGCCTACGTAAAAGTATTAACTTGCACCGCCGCTAATGCCTCCTAAATTTCCAAATTCAATTCTTGTATGGACCGTTTTACTCTTCGCCGGTCCGTGGCTACAAATTCAGAAGCAAACTTGGTTAGTTTCGTAAATTTTTTTGTTTCATATTCGGCCACACTTTGAGTTCTTTAGTGTAGCCCAATAAACTTCTCCTCTCTTCTTTCTTGGACTAAAGGTGGGAGATACTTCTCGTTAAATTCTCTTATGAAATTCACCCATGTCCATGCAGTCTGTTCTCTTTCCTACTTGGCTTTAATAACATTCCACCACGCTCAGGCCGATCCTTCAAATTGGAACACTGCAAAGTTCACTTGTTTTTGCTCAGTGTAATTCAAGGCTGTGAAAATATTAATCATGGCTTCTAGCCACTGTTCAGCTATGTCCGGATCATGCCCCCCAACGAATTTCGGAGGTACAAATTTTTGAAACCTCTCAAGAGCCTTATCCTCGCTTACCTCAGGGTTCCGGAGTTGGTTCACTGGCATTTGGCCTTGTTGATCCACCAGTCTTGCTAAGATATGCGTCATTTGTTGTATTGCAGTCGCCATTTGGTCTCCGACTTCAACCCTCTGTCCTTGTTCTTGCTCAGCCACTGTTTCTCTTTCTTCTCTTGGTTCTTGGGCTCGCTTAACTCCACGGCCACGTCCACGTCCACGTCTCCTCTCCATACTTTTTTTCTATCTCTTTTCTTTTCTTTTTCAAAAGGTAATTTAATAAATAAACGAAGTAAATTGACTAAAATAACAAGATCTAATGCACCAAATACATAGAGAGACATATACACGACATAACACACCATATACATAAAGAGACATATCACGTTAGACAGATAATCAAAAGCAGTCACTATCACACATGTAAGTATTATCATACCACAAACAAAAGTCATGTAGTAATAATACAAGGACAAATCAAAGGAAAAGGCGATATGTCGTCCCAGTCTCAGTAAAATAACTTCATTCGGTCCCTCACGTCACTTTCTATTCAAACTAGACGTCCGTTGACCTCTTGTACTCATTTTAGCCAAGCAAAACCTGTTTATGTTCCCAAAATACAAGTCTCAAGTACTTAGTACCGCATCAACTCTAGAGTACTCGGGTACGAGAATCCGAAATAAGATAATTCACATCTCGAGCTGGCCAGTCCCAAGAGTAAACTATCTACAATCGAAATTCCTACCTGACGTACCTATCTATGGTCCTCAGATTCCATGAGAAAGATTTAAGGCCTATAACATTTATGATTCATAGCTTATGCTCGAACGAGCACTTAGTCCTTTATACTTATTCACCACTTAGTTCAGACTCACTCCGTGCAGAGACCACGCGAAGCAGGCTCTGATACCAACTGTGACAGCCCCACCTCCCCCTAAGGTGAACCAAAGGGTTTGGCGGACCACCTGCCCAATTCTCGCTGGGATTCAGTCATATCTCAAGTAAAACTGGAGCAAAACCACAAGAACAAGCATAATAACAATTCAAAACTTAAAGCAAAACTTATATACATTTCTATCTCAAAAGGGAGTACAGACTCAAATATATAAAGATTCTCAATTTTTCATACATCCAACCCGTGCCAAACGTTAGGGCGAGAACCATTATAAAATTCGAAAAACTAGACTAGACTAGTCTATACAGAGCTCTCGTCCTTGCTCGCCGTCTCCTGTTAAGGAAAACAAAACTAAAGGAATGAGTTAAAAACTCAGTAAGGTTCCAAACACACAATCAAATAATCAGTCCAATGCATTAACCATAGATAACCAATAATTCAAGAATCATTTACAATATAAAGCGATAATAACACATTCATTAAAAGGATACGTGCTCACATGGAGCTATTCATTCATTCATTCTCCTTTCATTTCCTTATTCCTCCAATCATTTGAAAATGCATTTTTGTAAATAAAAACCCTTCATTTACATTATCACTCGTTCATTCATTTCATTTCACCCCCTTCCGGACGTTGGCCGGACTCCACCGGACAACAAGGTCATACTCGAGTATACCAAACATTCATCCAGGGTCACCAAATCGCTCGATTGAGTCCGCTTCTGACTCGAGTCGATCGGTAACAAAGGGCAGGGTCCAGTTTAGCCAATAGGCTTACATTCATGCACATGTAATCATTCAATCATTATAAATTTTACATTCATTTAGGTCGAGTGCGATAAAGTACACGCTCGTCTAGAAAACTCGTTTTGGCAATTATAGAATGCATTTTGTGACGCCCTCCACTTCTCCCAAGGGCGAACCCAAGGGTATCCGCGGGACGCCTGCCCAACTCTCGCCAGAACTCAAGACAAATCAAATCGAACTTAACGATACATACCAAATACTACGAGTCAAAATAAAGAAAAGTCGCTTCCTTAACTAAATATTTAAATCTTACATCATATTCACAAAAGATATATCAAGTTCCAAAATGCAACCATTAAAAGTCGACTACACATTTACAGCCCCGATTCTAATCAAAAGTATAATCTAGTCGGCTTTACCAAAATCTTCCAATCTAACCTGTTAAGGAAAACAAACTAATAGGATGAGCCAATACTCAGTGAGGCCAAGAAAACACACATGCAAACACATAATCTAAGTAGCAACAACAATTACATTGTAGGTAAGGCTATCAAATTCGAATAATTCACATTTCGAATAGGAAAAATAAACAGAAACAATTCAAGGATACTGTAGCTCTCAGGAGCTAAATTCCACGCAGTTGAGTCGAAGTCTTGATCACATCTCACGTTGACACTCCGTCAACCACATAAGTATCAAATCCGTAGATACACCACTTTTTTTCGAATCCCGTCACCGTTACACCCCCTTACCGGGCCCGCTCATCAAAGTTTTTGATAATACTCGAGTATATCATGGCAATACTACACGAGTAATGCCGAGCAAGATCTCTCCAATAGATCATACTCTACGAATATCCCATGGTTTGCTAAGCTTATCGACCAAACCCATGCTGGCTCGATTCGCAAAGTTAGCCAACGAGTTTTGGGCGTCCCCCGAATATGAATACGAATACGAATATAAGTCGATGAGCACCGCTCAAATCGACGATTCCAAATAGGAATCACAAATACGGATCACATATACGAATCATAAGTACAAATCACATCCACATTACCATGTACAAGTTGGATACGAATTCACATAGTAAAATTCGAATATAATTTCATTTGAAAGAGAACGAGTGCGATAAAGTACACTCTCGTCTCAAAATTTCAAATTTATATAACGGATAAGAAACAGATAACCACTTAACAACAAGTTCATGCACTTGACACTCACAGTGATTCAAGTAGCGAGTTCAAATGATGGTTTAGGCGTCTCCCGTGAGATCCTGTGGAAGGTCCTCTTGAGCGCCTGAGCATTTAATAGTGAATTATCATTCACACATCCCAATTATCAAGGAAGATTGTGCACTAGTACAATCTGGGAAAATTTCATGAAAATGAACCTCAATTACTAGTAAATCGAGGTTCAAGTGGAGTTTCTTAATGTACAAGAGTAATCGAGTTTTGTTATCTTGGAAATCAAGCATAAACGTTCAAGTATTATCGAAGGAATAAGGAATACTTGAAAAACTCCATTTCCTTGAAATTCAGAAAATTTCAGTTTTGATATGATATTATGAAAAAATCGTATCTCAGATTTCACATATCGAAAATTGGAAAACTTGGTAACGTTGGAAACCTCTTCCAAAGTACTAAAAGTTCTTAGAAGACACTTTTCCATGAATCTAAGTGGAAGGTGTTAAAAAATGAGCTTAAAGTTGCTGTTCCAAATCACCCAGGATTGAGCCGTTTTTCGCTAACTTTAAAAATTCAGCAGAATTCACTCGTTACAAACCAGCTCTTGAAATTTGTAGCTCAATTAGAGGTGCAAGTAAGGTTTAGGGCAGAACAAGCGGATCGAGAATCGGAGTTTCGAGCACCAAGATATGGTAGTTCAAAGTTGGGTAAATTTCAAGACTGTTAACAAATTTCCAGATTTGGTTCCGACTTTGGACCTTTAGTTAAGTGTCGAAACGGACTTGGTTTGATACCAAATTTTGCAGTATAATACTCCTATATGAAGGGTATCTCTCTATCAAATTTCGTGGAAAAATACCTTCGAAAAGGTGGTTAACCAATCAACCAAAGTTTGGAAAATTTCTCAAGGCAATCTGCCCTTAATCCTTTTCTTCCCAAATCAAATCGTTTGGCTAAGAAAATCCTCCAATCATGGTTCATATGTGAAAAGAAAGTTTAAGAAACATTCATGGTACATTTGGTAGGTGTTTAGTGTCAAGAAATTCATTTAGTAAGACCACCACAAATGTCACGTCAAATCTGTCCAAATCCAAGGCTTTCAAGAACAAAACAGTCACCGTATTTTGATCATAACTCACTCAATTTAACTAGGATTTGAGCATGGTTGATAGTGTTAGAAAATACATTCATAGAACTATGATTTCACAGAAGAAATCGTTTTGAGTTTCAGCATGCAACTAGCTCGAAATTAAGCCTAAAGTTGCAGAATCATCAAATCATTTCGGCAGAACGGAGAAACAGGACAGCCGACTTCAGATGAATGGTGTGGCTCACACACATGAAACCAGAATGTGCATTATACACCGTTGGAAACATGGGAACGTCTAGTTTCAAATGCCGCTAACAGCACTTGATTTCGATGTTGGAGTACGGAGTGATGGACAAAATACAAACACTGGTCTGGGTTACGACAAAACCGTTTTCCAGATTACTAGTTTTTGAAATAAATTCGTTTGACCCACCAAAACTCAGTATTTTCCAATGAAAATTTTTACACAACTACTAAAACATATAAACAACACAATCAAGCCATTAAATCCTCAAATTTCTGCATTAAAGTGACCGAACAGAGCAGGGGTAAAATGGGAACGTTTTGCTTCAAGAGTTCAATAACGTTTCTGGCAACAATGCACCTTTAATCTACTTCCTTAAGCTCTAATTCAGCAATAAAACCATCATCAAACATCATCACAGCCATCAACCCAAAGTGGGAGTTCATAGAGCCCACATTTAACAATTTTCCAACATCCACAACAATCCATAAGAGATCAAGAGCTAAAAGATATACTAGACTTCCAAAAATCAAAGTTAGAAAGCTAGATTAAGACTTACTCTTAGTTGATGTTTAAGACAGAGATTCGGTCCTTTTGAAGCCTGAAGAAACCGTGAAAGCTCCTCCCCTTTTCAGCTTAATGTGTTGTCCAAGTGTAGAGCTAAGAGTATGTGAAGTTTTGGTTGAATCTATGGAGGTTTGGTTGTGATTTTTGTGAGATTTGTAGAAGGAAATGGTGAAGAGCTACGGCTGTGCTATCCGTCCATTGCAGTAGCAGAAATGAAATGTGATTCGGATGCCTTTGGGTACAAAAGATGCTTGACGTCTAATATTTTAAGTACGTAAAATTTTAATTGCAACTAGTGCCCTACGCGCGCGTTTTGTGTTCGATTTCTCTCACGTTTGTTGCACTAGTGCACTAAACCTCTAGGACACTTACATTTATATAAATATTATTCATTCTTAATTGTCCCAAAATAATTGTCCAAAGTCCCCCAATTAAGCGCGCACGTGAAACACGTATTTCTAATTTAGGCGCAATAAAAATTGAAACCTTTGAGAAATTCTTATAACGATCTTACCACTAACTATCACTTCAATATTTAAACCTAAAATTGCCTATTTTAGGACCATTGTATATGTCTTAAATTTTTGAGCTTATTGTACTCCTAATTGGCTAAAGTTTTCAAACACGTTTTCACTTTTTCACTAAACAAGCTTCTAAGAAAATAATTTTTTGAAACGAGACACTTTAAAAATATAACGAAGCTATAAAACCATATATTTAGGTCTAATAAGGATAGAAAATAATATTCGGGCAAAAATCCAAATAGATAATTAATTGAGCCAAAATTAGGGGTTTAAAAAATAATAATTTTACGAGTCCTCACGTGAATTGAGTATTAATTCCTCAATTAACCTTTTTTAATCTATTATTGATCGTTCTTAATTCTCCAATATTAATACACTCTCAATTCAAATATAGTCTCGAAAAACGTGCACTCGTTGTTCCGAACTAAACGAGTTTTCGAAAAGTGAATTTTTCCAACAAACGCTTTTAAAAATATAAAAGAGGCGTCGTTCCATATAAATGGATTTTAAATGATCGAAATAAATAATTTGGAGAAAAATGAGTAAATAAATATTTAAACAAACTACTAATATTCGATAAAATAAAATAAAAATTTTCGGGTCTTCACACATTTAACATGTTATCAATCATTCATAACAAGCTATATAATCAAGAAAATATAACAAACAAGAAACATTCACCTATTTACACAAAATAACGTCCAAAATATCCTTCCAAATATTACCTCAGTCACCGATGAAAGCTAAGATTAAGCAAGAGAGACTATTACAGTTCATCTAGCAAAAATAATTAGGTGAAATCGATGAAAATCTAACTAACGACGAGTAGAACGTATAAAGATGACTTTAAAGGTGAAAAGAAGGCATTTGGATCTGAGGACGGGAATAACTAAGGGTTTCACAAACTAAACGTAAAACTAAACTCAAAAGGATTATAAAATTTCCAACGGAAAACACTTGGACCAAAGACAAATCAGAATCCAACTAGATAGGCTAAAGAAATATTTTTCTAAATCGTTTATGTGGCTCAAAATCAATATATATTCAAGTAGATATTATATAACAAATGTCTTGATGAAAATCATGTGAAAATGAGGACAAAATACCTTACTTGAAAGTAGTTTTCTCGTGACTCAGAAAACCCTAATTCATACCTCTTTATTTTGGTAAGGAGTAAGTAAACATTTGAAGTTTCAAACTAAAGAGGTATCATGTTTAAAATGGTAAAACGGTCATGATATTCACCAAGCATAAATATATAAGTTCAAATAAGAATGTAGCTCCTCGAACACCCTTCGAGAGAACAGATGTAATTTTCAATGAAGTACGTCCAACTCGACACAAAAATCACATTTTCAAATCCACTCTAACTCACTCAAATTACAAGAAAATAAACGGACAGCATTTCTCCTTAAATTCTTCACTTTCATCCTACAATCAAATACCCATTCTCATAGCAATTAACCACAATCACACATACGGTTCAATAGCAATAAAACACATCCAATTAGGGCCACAATACCCTTCGATCAAAGCCAATTAGGGACTTTACAACCAATCAAAGCAAAGCCCTAAATTTGAAACCCTAGGACTGAAATTTACACCCACAAGCGGAAATTTTCCGCAAACCATCACAACTAATAGACACAAGTTTCATTTTACACCATCTCCATCCATCAATCCAAGGCCAACCCATGATTATCATATAAAATCAGAAAAATCCCCAGTAAATCAGAAATTGGACCAACTCAACTTAAAATCATGAAATCATCCACAAAATAGCATATCTAATCTCTACAAACCACCAATTAACCATTATTAGAAAAAAAAAAGAATTTCTTAACACTCACCTTATGAGCTCAAGAAAGGTAGGAACTTAAAGCTTCCCTTCCAAAAATTACTCCGTCAAAAGCTTTAAACTCCCTTAGTACACACTTGTATGGAGTAGATTGAAAATCTAACGGTGAAATCTCAAGATTTGAGCAAAGATAGAAGCTAGGAAAATAAAGAACTTTGTCTCTTCTCTCTATGATGCACGGCTGAGCAAGGTGAAGAAATGAAGATATTTTGGACCAAAAAGCAATATAAGAATGAAGAAAACAGTCGGTCAAAGTTGGTGGGCGCCTGTGACACGTCACAATCCGGTCGGATTCCAGGCCGGATTCAAGGCAGAAGAGAAATTAAATTTTGTTTTCAAAAACCAACAACAATCCGGCCTGCAATCCGGCCAAGAACTGGCCGGATTTGCCGCCGGATTTGGTTCTTCCCCTTTTCACCAAATGTTTTTCTTCTTTTCCTAGTTCAAATGCCGCGCTCATTCGTACTTCCAATTCATAGGCATATACACATATCTCACATCACACGATCACATATATGCAATGAAAACCCTCCTTAGAAATGGATAGCAAATTTTTCCATTTTAAAAAGGAAAGTGAGAATAACAAAATGTTGAGAAAATGTGAAAATTTTAGAGTTCTCACACTTGACCTTTCAAAAAGCAAATATTAAAATGACTCTTGGTGAAAGGTAATAGACAACCTTTCAAGAACACAAAAGACAAATGACCCTTCAGAAAAGTAAAGGTTACAAATGACTCTTCAAGAAAGTTACAGACAACTTTCTTTATTACTGGAGCCTACATGACTTGTGGCAACAAGACACACCAATAATTGTCATCATCTGGGATATCCGAAGGAGTAGTATCTGGATCAGTGATGTTGTACATCTCAATGAAATCTTCATGTGCTCTCCTATTCCTTTTGTTGTTCAGCTGTCTACTTGCTTCTGATCTTTTTTTATGGACATAAGAAGATGTGAAGGGACCAGTTTCTGATTGACTTGTGTCATTATAGTGTCATTTATTGCATCTTGATACTATTTTTTTCGCGTTTTGAGCTCTAGTTCAGTAAGGATGACTAGTTTGATAGTTTCATGATCCATAATGTCCTGACCAATTTCTGGTGGAATGCATCTATTTTCTTGAAATATGTATCTCTATACTTCCTCATACTCATATTCAAGGTCTAAACTAGTATGAGACATTTCTTTATAAATGACTGTACTCGGAAGAGAATGGATTTGGTTATTGAGCAAATGACTTGATCCACCTTTGAAACTTGGATATATTCTTTTATGCCCTTTGGATGGTGCTTGATCAGGGATTTAATAACTTTTAATGGTGAAAATTGTTGTTTTCTGAAAGCAGAATAGGGATTAATAACAGGTAAAAAGGTATGATTAACTACCTCTGATTCAACAGATACTTCATACAGATAATCTAATTTATTACTATTAGTTTTATTTAATACAAGCTCACTAGAAGTAGAAGCACTCATATTTGATATTGAAATTTAATCTATTCTATTGAAATCATCAGCACTATTTATCAGAAAAATACGATACCACAGATAATCTATGATAACCTGTCTACTGACTCTTTGATATGAAAAAAGATGCAAATACTCTAAAAGTTCTAATATTTCAGCTTGCAACTTATTTATATATTCTAATAATTCTACTTTACTGAGTGTCTCAAATTGAAAGATTGGGGTTTCCTTCCACACCTGTTGAAAGACACGACAATATCAATCAAAAGGAAAATCAGCAAAATTATAAGGATCAGGGTTTACAAGATATGATGGATTCATAGATGGATGATAGATAAACAAATAGATATAAATGATGAAAGTTTTCCCTTTAGGTCTGGCTTTGATACCAAACTCAGAGTAGCCAACTCCAATTTTTGAAGGTATTCTCGAATACAACAGTCTCTCTCTCTTGGGCTTTCAACAGTTCAAGGGACTTTTATCACAAGATCAGAGTCTGATTACATTCATAAAGATCTCGGTCTTCCTAAAGGGAAAATTAAAGAGTTTAAGCCGCCATTTTTAGAGAAAACTTTTAGATATTATTCAAGGCTAGATAGTCGATGATCTTCCAATGGTAAGAATTATCTATTTATACAAGATAAAGTGACTTTTCAAGAAAGTCACTTTACTTGACCTTTCAAAAAGCAAATAGTAAAATGACTCTTGGTGAAAGGTAATAGACAACCTTTCAAGAACACAAAAGACAAATGACCCTTCAGAAAAGTAAAGGTTACAAATGACTCTTCAAGAAAGTTACAGACAACTTTCTTTATTACTGGAGCCTACATGACTTGTGACAACTAGACACACCAATAATTGTCATCATCTGAGATATCTGAAGGAGTAGTATCTGGATCAGTGATGTTGTACATCTCAATGAAATCTTCATGTGCTCTCCTATTCCTTTTGTTGTTCAGCTGTCTACTTGCTTCTAATATTTTTTTTATGGACATAAGAAGATGTGAAGGGACCAGTTTCTGATTGACTTGAGTCATTATAGTGTCATTTATTGCATCTTGATACTGTTTTTGTTTTTGGCTTTTTGAGCTCTAGTTCAATAAGGATGACTAGTTTGATAGTTTCATGATCCATAATGTCCTGACCAAATTTCTGGTGGAATGCATCTATTTTCTTGAAATATGTATCTCTGTGCTTCCTCATAGTCATATTCAAGGTCTAAAATAGTATGAGACATTTCTTTATAAATGACTGTACTCGGAAGAGAATGGATTTGGTTATTGAGCAAATGACTTGGTCTATGAAAATGAAAGATAACA